ACACACACACACACACACACACACACACACACACACCTCTTCATTAACTATAAGTATGATGATAACGTTTCAAGTTTTGATTCACAGGAAGTTACGGACTCTGCATGTTTCCTCAGAATGTTCCAGAGCCTCCGAGCTTTTAGTTCTAAAATCTGAGAATCTGAAAAACGGGAGGATGTTTGAAACGACACTTCGTTGTGTTATCATGTCAGTGACAACAGAATGTGTGCAGCTTTTCCATCTGACTGTCCCAGCAGCAGCTCGTCCTGTGAGTCTCCGCTCCGACCTGCTGATCGTCAAGCTGCTCGCAAATGATGAGTCACGGTTCCGATCCGTGTCTCTGGCAAAGTCTCCGGATCCCAGAGACTAAAATGTGGAAGTGTTGAAGTGAGAGAACAGAAGCAGCTCAGCAGTTTGAAGGAAGCTGAAGCTGCGGTCGACAGGACGAGGGCCATCTGTCACCACACACACACACACACACACACACACACACACACACACACACAGCAGCGGGTCGTCGTCGTCCTTCTGTCGTCACCAAACATCAAACCCAGAAATGATTTTCACTTCCTGTGTCCAAATCCTTTCTAATTCTACTTTTCGTGTTTAAGTCACATCACAGGCTCATCAAAGAAAGACACACACACACACGCACACACGTTTTCATTTTGAAGTGATCTCCGCTCACACGTATGTGATTCTAGTCGCCTGCTGAGGAGATTCTGTGTTTGTCCTCCGAGATGAATCCGACTCTTTGTTCCTCCTCCGGTTGGATTCAGCTTCGTGGCGCTGGAGGAGTTTTACGTCTCTAAAAATAAACTGTGACCTTTAAGATTCGACCTGAGCGGATTCTCAGTGTTTCTCATTTTTAAAACCACGAACAGTTGTCAGGATGTTTCTGATTCTTGTTGACATCAGGATCATTTGTCACATTTTGTTGATATAAAACTAATTTTATGGATTCACTGCGTGAACAGAATATAAAGTCTGCAGAATAAGAGCCGCAGCGCCCCCCAGTGGCTCCTGAACCAAAATAAGCTCTGAGCGCTTTAACTCTTTTATCAAACGTTATTAAAGTGATGGACACTTTAATATTCGAGGGTTGAATAAGAATATTTCTCTTTTTGAACCAGAGAGAAAACAAATGTGATATAATTTAAAATGTCAGAGCCCCCCCCCCCCCAGGACCCTGGAGTGACTCATCATCATCGTCTCCGTCCATTAAACCTTGTTTTCACCATCACCTCTTACATGTGCAGGAAGAGCTCCCCCTACAGGACCTTGGAGCCAGTGTGCCCCCCAGTGGTGCCCAACGATTATGCGTCCAGCCCCACCAGAAACAATATGGCCCCTGGGCAGCTTCCCAGTCCGGCTCGCACCGCCACCCTCAACCATCGACCCCGAACCTGCAGGTAGCCGGGGTCACCGCGGCGCCGAGAAGCAACTCAGAGCTGAACTCAACAAACCAAACGTTTTCAACACATCTGTCAATCTGATCTGGGACACGCCCACTCGCTCACTGATGTTTTACAGATGTTTCACTAGAAGCTGCAGGAGAAGATCCAGAACACGTCCAGACACTGACTCAGACATCTGTCCTCACAGACGAACCTGCAGAACACGTCAGGAACATGTGAGGAACACGTCAGGAACATGTGAGGAACAC